GGGCCTGTCCATTCTCAACCAGTGGACTATACTGTAGAACTCTCCAGCGCTGGAAGAGGAACAATTTTCCATGCCAGTCGTAAAGGAAAATAGGAGGTCATCAAGAACATGGATAAGACCTGGAACTTATAAAATATGAACAAATTGTGGTGAACAGATTTCAGTCAGGAGCAGATAACTTTGAAGATATAGAAAGTTGGCTCTGGTGTGCACATGCTAATTTCTCCTCAGTGTGGGAGGAAGTTTAAAGCCAAGTTTGCTAAGCGTGTAATCGTCCCAGGATGAGGTGAAGAAGCGAGCCGGGACTTCCCTTACACCAGAGGGTATTTTCCTGTGTGCTGTGGTAAATGCACATGGGTGACCCAGGCTGCCTTCATGTGTGGGTGGTACAGACATGAAGGCCGAGATAGGGAGGCATACCAACATGGATCTATTTTAAACTGCATTCTCCCAGTGGTTTAGCAATTTATAGAAACAGTACTAAAATACATGATAAACATCGATATATTTATTTCTACCATTGAGAGGTCGCATTGGGACGGACCAAGATTGTGACATACCATGGATAACATTAAAGCCAGTCTACTTAGCCAACTTAAGCAGCAGTTATTTATAAATCACTTTTGGTTAAGTGTAAGGAAAAGGTCAAATGAGTCTGGAAACATTTGCATACCATCACCAAACACGCACCTCTTTATGGGACTGCATTAACGTCATAAGCAAATTGACACATCAAATCAACGCACAAAGGCAGATCAGCTGTCGAGTCATAAAGCTGCATTACTGGGCTGTGTATAAAGGCTGGGGGCAGTTCCATCCCGGGAATGTGCGAGGCGTGTGTGTGCGTGAGGGCATCCGAACGTGAGTGTGCTCTGTGGCCGGGGCGACACTGTTGATGACAGAGCAGTGAGATAAGTCCCAGAAGCTGCTCAATCATCTATTCATAGAGGAAAGAGACGCCCCGCTGCTGAAAGCTGCCTGATCTCCACACGATCTCTGCCCAGCACCACTGTGTCATCATTAACATCAAGCATAAACACAGGCGTGAGGTCCAACTGTGCCCAACCATCGCCAATGTTGTGCAAAACATGCTAATAATGAGGTGATTTGTAGAGCGGCAAATTACTGCTGTGACGTTTCCTTTAGTGATACATAATGGTATTGCATAAACGACAAAAAATAAACTGAATACTGAGTCCTTATATATTGTTCAAGTAATGGTCAGTGCATCTGCCACTTAATGTACAAAATCTAATCCATGATAGATTCTCACCATAATCAGACTAACAGGAGGCAAAAACATGCATTTCCCTATTTAGAACTTTAAAATCATTGTGCATCTTAGTACATACTGTATAGTGTAAACATATACTGAGAGGAATAAAAAAAAAAAACATATTCAAAGGTGATTACATTTAAAACACTATTTGAAAAGGAAACACTGAAGAAGTACATGGAAGAGAGAGAGTGAGTGATGACTCAGCAAGATAGGAGAGAAGTGTAGGGTCAGAGAGTGTTTGTTCCATTGCCTTGTCTGAGTGTGTGTATTTTGTGTTATTAAGTGAGAGGGGTTCAAGCCAAATAAGTGTCCAACCCGTTTTAAAACTGTGTATTTTGAAACCTGTTTATTTTTTATAAAACATATGTGCACAATAAATACTAAATAAAATAATATATATAGATTTTTAGAACCCCTAGAACCTTTCTTAAATATATTGTAGTTGAATTCTGTGTTATGATTGCCGGTATATAGTTTTGCTTGAATAATGTGAGACAGAGAAGGCTGCCCACGCGCCTGGCTCATCTATCCGCTGCCAGAGAACCTACAGGCCCCAACAAAACAAATTCATTAACCCAGACAATAAAATACAGCTGGGAGGGCCAGTGGGAACTGTTTGAAATCAGTACAGAGAATTGTGGGGAATCTGTTTAAGACAAACACAGTTGAAAAAAACAGCTAAAGCTATGGATTTGGACGGAAGACAAAGTGAATGGGGAGCAGTTTTTAAATTAAAGACTTGCGGGGGACACAAATCCCTTATTGAACAGAAACAGTCCCTTGTACCAGATGCTCCGGAGCCAAGCCTTGTTTCTGAGCACTGAACAGGTTGTTTAGAAAAAGACCAAACAAATCTGTCAGAAACTATAAATATCATGAAAACATTGGGTTACACAACCACGGACATCCTTTTCCAAAATTTCAAAATTCAGCATTGACTGTTATGTTGATTATTTGATACTTGTTACCAGGGATGGGGGAAAAAGTATTGTATTGTAGTCAACCCAAAAGGCATTTAAAGTCTCCACTTGATCCAACCTCATAATCCAAACACTGTCAGTGCAAATACTACTGCTATCATTTGATTGTGCTGTGTCTAATGTGATAGCAGGGGGTCGACAAGTTGCTGGCTCAGGTTCAGTGAGTGAGGAGAAGCAGCCGCACTCGCTTTGTGCCATGTAAACAAAGGCTGCAGTTGTCAAGGCCACCACTAGAGGGCTCTCCAGTTTGTTAAATAGACTTGGAAGGGTGAGCCAAACATTGCTGCCTACGGAAAGGTCCAGGACAAGCAGCTGGACAGACAAAGACGCCAGGAGGGTTATGACTGTGAGATAGATGAAGGTACAAATCATTTCACAGACACAAATGGTATATCCAGACAGTGCTTATTCAAAGAAGGTGAAGACATGCAGTGAATGGCTCTAGTGTTAATGATATGTTATGCTCTCTAATGATACAGCTAAGAACCCAATAAAGAAGGAGATATATTGCAATAGATATTAATACGGCACAATAAAATGTCATGGCCCCTAACAACTGCGACCAGAAAGTTATATTAAAAAAGATCACACAGCAGAATTTTCCCAAGAACTATTCCCCATTTCTCAACCGTGCGTAGCCGATCTGCACATTACATCACCCTGGACCTGTGGGTAATTTCAATTTCACTTAATTCGGCAGGAGGCAGCAATAACACAACATGTGCATTCCAGGAGTGAGAGAGAGAGAGACTGAGTGCGTTTCCAAGTCATGGGTAAAATGGCAAAAATGGAAAAGGAAAAAGAGCATGCACTTCACCGCAGCTACTGTCAAGGTGCCCATGAGAAATTCCCCTTTGAATTCAACTTTGAACTAAAAAATAGAGTAAGAACGTGAAATACTGTAAAACAAACACCAATTCTAATTTGCTTGTTCAACAGCGTAAAATATCACAGATCTGTAAGATGTTTTATTATTTTGAGGCTAATGCTAAAAGACCTCCCAGAAGAGCAGTTCTGAACCAGTGTGAACCCTCCGCAGCCTCTCTCTGCCCTTTAACAGAATCAAGCCATGAATCATTACAAGTCAAGGGTGACCGCTCCAAGATCACCCAAAATCAAGACCATATGGATCGCAAGCACTTCTTTCTCTAGGACCTGCTGACTGACCGTATAAATAACAACATAAATGGATAAATAAAGGTGCAGACTAAACCTGACACCAGCAGCTTCCTCTCGTATGGAGTAACACAAACATGCCAAACAAGACACACACTGTTCTTGACTAATAAACCCATTATATACACTTATGCGTGTCCATCTAAATATGGTCTGAACTCTTAATGTATCTGGTCTTGTTTTGAATAACAATAAAGGATAGAAGCAGCAGACAGAAGGTTCTCTGAGGAGGGATAATCAGCTTACTGTGCATGCGGCCTGCAGAAAAAAATGCATGTATAGTGTAATGCTTTTGGTATTTCAATCAACTTTGATAAAAGCAATAAAGGGCATAAGTTGGATGAAATTTGGTCGATGCACACTCCTTTCAAGGAGACATCTTTTGTTAAAAATCATCAGAGAAAAGCTTCCTTTTCACTGGCTATACATTTGCTCTATCAGAGATCATTTTGTGCCTGCAACCATGTCATGTGTATGGGTTTAGGTTGGTTGAATGATTGCTTCTTTCTCGCTGACTATAGTGAGATATTTATAGTGCTTTATTTCTCACTTTACATTTATATTAGAACAATTTGAGATTAGCTGGAATTTTGTGTTCGTGACCGCAAACTCATTCAGGAATTTTAAAGCAGTTGTTTTTCTGGATGTCAAACTGGGGATTTTATAAAGATACATCAGACAGGCTTTTTCTGCTCTCTAGATAAACAAATAATCCCTCAATACATTCATATAAGAAACACTTGTTTTATATTACTTTGTGTCATTTGTGAAGAGCAAGGACGAATACAGGATGTGAGTCATGAAGCAGTCTCCATATTGAAGCACACATCCCAGAGCAGGCGCACTGGAGATAATAGTCAGCTGCTCTCTGTCCCTTCTGCCTGCACTGCAATCCCATCCTCACCATGGCTGGTAAATATTTTTATATTGTGTACCATTAAAAGGCTTTATTAAGCAGTCAGACAGGCCAAATGGCGCCTAGAAGCTCCCTGTCCCGTAAACAATAGGAAGGTTTCTAAAAGCTTTAGCTGAGTACAGAGCGGTAAACTTGGGCCACATTAGAGGACTGATTCGCTCTAAGCAAGTAAATATTTAAACATGTTCGTCTCACCCAAAAACACAAAGAGCGAGGGTTAGGGGCAACATCAGCAAAAAATCTAAAATGGGTTTCTAAAGAAAGTTGGCACAGCTTTGAGGAGTGATTTGGAAATGGATTCATGTCAAGAGTTTGGAAGTGTGTCAACTTGTACAAAAGATTAATCACATTGGCGTGAAAAAATTCTTAGGGTCAGGCTTTACGGCTCTGATATAATGCAATTTTGAACGCAATTACAAAAACGAATAGTGAAATTGGAAAGGCATGTTGGTGAACCTTTGCACTTGCACTGCATGTGAACATATGTACGTGTTTCATGAGAAGTACAACAGACAGAAAGGGTAGTATTTTCTTTGGTTATTTGATTGGTCAGAAAAGTCAACCACAGGAGGCATAGGAGAGCCGCTTAAAATCATATTTCTGTCGATTATTAATATCTGGAATGTGTGTGAATGTAATATTAATGTACCTCAGTTCCTCTCTCGCCCACCTCCATGCCAACCATGTTGTCCCGCAGGAGCTGATGAAGGAGCTGAACCTGGGCCATGCTCAAGTAGAAGTCCAGGCTGCTGGTCAGGTTCACCTCCAGAGAGTGGCCACACACCACCACCTCCTACAGGGACACAGAGCTGGGTCAAGCATAGTGCAGAAAAGCGGGAAACGGGACGCACAGAATAAACACATAAAAAATCTGAGCATTATTATTAGATTGGTGTTCCCTGGCCTCAATGACCACTTTAAGGTAAATTCAAAGTCTGCGATTTTGTCTGGGTGTAAATTCAATCGGTCGACACTCAACACTGTGATTTAACTCGTAAATCCACTGTGTGTAGGACAGAGTTGCCTTCATGAACCCACTTGTTCCTCTTCCCTCTGTCCTCTCCAAGGTCCCACCCACGGATCAGGTTCAAACTGCGGCCTCAAACTCCATAAAGAACCATCAATGATCTCTCAGAGCGACCGAACACTACTGAAAGAAGCCTGGTCTCACAGAGAGGGATACGGACATAACTGTACTTTTGGTATTTATGTGAGAACAAGGTAAAAGGCAGGATAGAAAGTTTTACGAGTATTTTTTTTAAAAGCACACACACATTAATGTCTCGGTTTAGAGTATAGATTTAAGATTATTGAACATGAATTAGATTATAATTTGCTTTGCTTTGACTCTTAAGTTGTTTCAGGATGTGGGTGTGTTCACAGTAAAGTGTCAATTATAGTATCAGGACTTTAAAAAATTATAACTCAATAACTAAAATTACTATCATAGATTAGAAAAAAGGTTTTCAAACACAGACATATCAAAGAGATATTGTGGATAAAATTAAAAAAAAGAGATTGTCAAATAAATTTTTGGTAACATTTTAAAAGACCAGATAATTATACTGTGACTCAGGTCATCAGTGACAAAGCGGCAGATGAACTCCCACAAGATTAACATGGCTAAAACAACATTAGTAAATCATAATTTTTGAAGAAGAATTACCGGTAATACAAATTGAAAGGATGTGATAGTTCTTGTGTATTTTTTTCTGAAGATTAAACTGGGGGGGAAAAAAAGATTGTCTGGTATCATATTTAATTGGGTTACTATATGAAATCACTTTGTGCTTACTCTATGTAAAAAAATCTATCATATCAATGTAAATAGTAACATATTACAAAGTATGCAGATTTTTTTCTAAAACTGCTTAAAATGCAGCTGCAATATAAATATAATGTCACAAGGGCATGATATCATGAGGCTACAATAACAGTTACAGACTGTGTGACAGGGTCAGTACAATTTACAAGCCACTTAACTCATTGGAACAAACAACTTACGAGTATAGTAAGTAAGTAAGCTTTTATTTATATACCGCCTTTTCACTGCACATCAGAGTCTCAAAGCGGTTTACAATTGTTGGGTGGGGGTGCCAGTACAGGAGGCACATGCCATACCTATTGTACATATTTTTAGTGGTAGGGGAAACCGGAGCACCCGGAGGAAACCTACGCAGACACGGGGAGAACATGCAAACTCCACTCAGAAAGGCCCTGGTCCAACCGGGATTCGAACCCAGGACCTTCTTGCTGAGAGGCGAGAGTGCTATCCACTCAGCCACCGTGCCGTATACTTACTTACTTTTGGTAAATCTACCAAAGTACAAAAAGTATTTTTATTTATGTTTATGGACCCGCTCAGGCCTTATAGAAGCAGTACAAATGAGTGTGAGTGAAAACTATGGAACTATGGATTAGCTGTTACACATAGTCAAGGGACACATAACATGTACAGAGGCGGAATCAAAGAGTCAGGAAGTTTCAGCGCAGTTAGCCAGAAAACATCAGCTGTGTAAGCAAAAACTGAAAAAAAAGCTTGAACTCTGAAGGTTTAAACCCTACATTACTTGCAAAAACTAATGTAGGCTCCTTATAATGAGAAAGTCACAGTATACCAAGGCAAACTTTACTCAACCTAGCATTTCACATAATGATCGGAGTTTGTTTTTGATTAAAGTGAAAGGCTGCAATAGGTTAGGGACAAAACAATGATTAACAATTATTATAATAAATAAGGTGCATGGACCAACAACTTTTTGTATTATTATTATTAAAAAGCTTGGCAGGGAACAAAATTCAACCCCTGTTTGTATTTTTATCTAGTTCTTTAACACAATCCAATCATGTGATTCAGGAGTCTCCTGTAAACAAGTGTCCTAAACTCGCAAAATCTGGATCCATCCATCCATCCATTTTCTACCCTTTAATCCATTTCTGGGTCAGGGGGGTGACAGTCAGAGATGCCACCCAAGTCTCATAGCACCAGCCCCTCACTGACCCTCTGCAGGTGGTGAGTCCACAGGAGGACGGCTGCTCTCTGAGTGTGAGCATAGCCTTGATCTTTCAGTGGGGGCTTTGGGCAAAGTGGGGTTAAGTGTCTTGCCCAAGGACACAACGACAGCAGTCATCAGTGGGAGTCAATGGAGAAGGTGCAGAGGTGGGAATTGAACCCACGACCTCCTGGGCTTAAGGCCAATGCTCTACCAACTGAGCTACTGTCGCCCCTTAAAAAAATCTGGATTTCTGTCTTATATATTGAACAAATTATGGACTTATGTTTTCATTCAGTTCTGGTGTGTCCAGTTAAAGACCGGTCACTGTTGATCATTTGTTCCCGGCAAATATTGTCACGCATGTTTCACATACACAGCGAGCCTATCTGGCAACTTACCACACCTGATTTGAATTGTGAATGTTACAAACATCGGAGAATTCAAGGAACTGTACTCAGCATTTTGAGATGTTACTATATATCAGAGGTCCTTTAATCATCTATGGAAGAATGGCATATATATAAATATGAATAAAGGAATATCTTATAAATTCACACGCATGCCCAACAGACGCATGGGAAGCTCTCTGATGTTATGTTGGAGAGATTATGAGATTTAGTTGTGAAAAGTGTGAGATTCACTGCTTAATGTGACCTTTTCTGGAAATTAACAGTAAAAAAGAATTGTCTAATATAAATACATAATGACTTCTCTAAACAATTCATGTTATTATCATACATTAGCTGTAGCAGTGTAATAGTTAGAAAAACTCCCTGGGGTAAAACATTTGAGTAGTCTGGATTTATACCAGGTGTGTCTGCGTCATACTGACCTCTGCTTGTGCACTATCAGGGGAGAGATTCCTGCTGAAGATTATAGCGGGAGCAGCGGTCACTCGGACAGAGAAGTCAGTCAGGATGGGTGTGAGGATGGCCCGTCGCTCCTGGTGCCGTCTAATGCTAAAGCAGAGACACAGAAAAGATCAAAACACATGCAAAGACTTTTTACAAGTGCTATAACTCCTCTGACGATAAAAACTTGTTCTCGTCATATTTATAACCATTAGAGGTACTAGACACACACTTTAAATCAAGTGCATAAACTTAAGTCATACCTCAACACCAGCAGAATGAAATGATACACCATTCAAAGACGACCATTAACTGACTAAAACTTTCCAAAGATGAATTCCTATATCTAAACAAGCAAGTGTTTTTTATTATTACAAGTTGTCATAGTTACAAACTCTAAAACTGTTGTACGACTTGTCCCATCTGACTCCAGACTGATATGTCAACACAACAAAGTTTAAACCACAAAATGTTCTCAGTAGAGCTATTGTTGTTAGGCCCCAAACACTTTGATATGCCGTCGCTATTGAAATTTAAAATGTTCAGTACTTTAAAACATAATATCCTCAAAACTGTTGCAAAGTGAGAACACATGCCCACAATCCATGCTAACACATTTGAGGTTGGAAGCATAAAGACTTGGTTACACAGACGAAGAGTGAGACATTATTTGACAAGCTTCAACTGGGAACACCCCTAATTGTATATACACAAGATCAAACCAAAAACAAGACTCTATTTCACTAATGCTTATTCCCACAATCAAGTCATATTTGTGGGAACATTTGTGAGCGCTAAAACAAATATACAATTCAGCTTTATAAGGTGGTGTTAATTGCCACATCTGCAACTATTAAAACAATCAAGGAATATGGCTTCCAATATTTATAGTGGGCGCGGATTAGACATGAGCTTGATTCTAGGTGGCCCAGAGTGCAGTGCTTTAGCAGATCAAATATCATATTCACTTCTGTTACACAAATGTGCATTATGAGCACCCTGAAGGGATTATTTCTTGACACATTTCTTAAAGTGGATACGTCGAGGGAGGCCTGATTCAGAGGAGAAGTGATCTGGAGAAGGCAATTGGTGTTTGGCTAATCTCTCGTCAGACAGGGGACTGAAACAAGCAGTGTCTCGTTCCATGAGACAGGTGCTATCATTCACCAGCCGGCCATGTAAGCGCAAAGCTCGGTTTACCAGTAATATGAAGGGGGCCTCTAACTCGGATGAAAACAGCTTTATGTACTGGTACAGTGGAGACCACACCAACTGAGAGAAGTCATGGGAGTAGGCTGGGATCTAGACTTTTAAAAGACCCGAGCACATTAAAGACCACAGCTAGAACATATAACATGGAAAGAGATACCTTGAAGTACGACTAAAGTGCAAACATGAGTCTGATCTCACTAGAATTTATAACCATATGGAAAGTTACTTGATTCCTTTTCATTTACTTAAGGTTTTGGAATAAACTTAAAGACCCATAAAAGGTTATGAATAATACAAAGGCAATTCTGTAAGGATAAACAGAACAGTACTGTAGGACAGAGTGACAGCAGAAAGGACAGCTCTGGAGTTGATGGAGGGAGGAGAGAGAGCATACTGCTCCCTGACACATGGTCTTTCCGAGCCGACAACTCCACACTGTGATGAGGACAGATCCTGTCAAGGGTTCTGCTGAGCAGGAATTTCCTCCAAAACCTCAGGAAGTCGACTGAGGTCATTGTAGATCCACAACTACTGGAATAAAATGCTCAACATAGAATAGTGGCGTCTATTGCCGTGAATATAGGAAAGGTGTGAACTTTGGAAGTGGTGTGTGTCAAAGCTCATTACAGCAAAAGCGGTCTGCTTCTGGGGCTGATTGTAGCAGACAAGTAAAGCTGTGAACTTGACTCCCTTTCCTCTTGGTTGGAACATTATTTGGTTTTGACTAAGGTCACAGTAGGAAGGTTCGGTGTATATTGCACCACACAAAGTTACAGTAAAGCTTACTTTCCAAAAGAGAATCCACAGTGGTGGAAATGACAATTGATGGTCACAACCAAAGATTTTTATATTTTACATTTTGAACAAACTGGCCCCAATGCTCACTTAAGTGTTGGAAAAGAGACTTAAAACATGATCAAAATCTTATTTTTCACAGAAAGTAAGGAATCTGGAAAACGGGAAACGTCTGCCCCCTTGTACATGATGTTAAAGCAATCAAAACTGGGTGCATTGTTTCTGAGTGGCACTGGCAACTGTACTTGCAGCAACTATGTTCCTATGTCTGAGCTTATTCTAGATATGCACAAAATTGTTCAATTATTGTTTCTAATAATTGCTTTCAAAAATAGTGTACACCAAAGATGGTGACAATGAACAGAGGTAATGTTTTCTCAATCATGTGAATACTTTGGCATTGATAACCTCATGTAACATATACATTTTAAAGCCAAAGTGTGGGTGTCAATCCTTTGAGTACAATAATAACTACTAAGCTGCATGTTAGGTCATCTTGCAATGAAGTTTTGAATCAAAATCCAGAACTGCCACTAAAACATGTCTGAGGAAACTTGAGTCTCCTCAAAAAGGCTTTCAAACACACTTGAGGAGCACTGAAGTGTGAGCCCAAAATCTCACCTCATTGCCCTTTCAGGGAATCTGACCTTGGCACTTGTCCCATCCTGCTGTGTTCCTCAATAGAAACACTTTCAAATGAAGAAATGATGGAGTAAATGGAGGCCCAGTAGCCCTATGGGCGAAAACAGTGACACATTTCTTAGGAGTAGCCAGGTTAAGTGTAAGACCTCAACAGAGATCCAAGTCCGCTACCTTAATGGGCTTTAAAACAGACCTGGCGGCCAGAGTCAGTAAATAGAACTACAGAGTGTTAAGTGGAAAACATTCAGGGTGGTCCCCTGTTAAGAGTCGGACCTGGAAGGATTTTTCAGTTTTAGCAGGTGTCATTGACGATAAAAAGTAAGTTCTATTTAATTTCTACTGAGTGTCCTGAGGACCAGGTAACTGCAACAGTTGACGTCATGATTATACAGTATACAACCCGACGTACTCAGCGCTCTTTTACATTTCTCACAGCGATAGATCAGATAAATACATTAGGGCTGTTTAGGCTCAGAGCCTCAAAACTTCACATCATCTGCAGACTGTATCTTGGGCATTGGCTGTTGTGGCCACCTTACCAATTACCAATGCTCAATTTATTGTCCTAAATAACTATTACGTAAAACAAAGGGATGGCCCATTGTAGATGCGTTTTATGGTAGCAGAAATGAGAGCACCTGAAGGAAATCTACACAGACCCATATCCACTAACATTAAATTACGTATACTTTGTCTAATGTACTGTATATCAGATGCCAGAAAATTTCATATTAACACATTGCAGCAAGTGCAGTTGGTTTAACTGATTCTAAATCAAAATATTTGATTTATGCTTTATAATATCAACAGCACTTTTCACTTTCAGCCCAATCCGCAATCCAATTTGACATTACAGCTAGAATCATGAGAGTCTGTATATGAAACATGGGTGCAGATGACTGGGTTTTACTTAGAGTTCAATCAATACAGTGAAAATGTACCACATGTATCACAGCCAAGTCCTGAAGACCCGCACACTGTCTCCATCACAGCAATGTTGATTTCTTCTTACTACATTCTTCCACAAGGCGTATTTTTAGTTGATGAGGAACAAATCGGAGACTGCGCCTGCAATTCTGTGATTTTTGGGCTTGTTCCCTATAAAAGCTCAGTTGGTAGAGCATTGGCCTTAAGCCCAGAAGGTCGTGGGTTCAATTCCCACCTCTGCACCTTCTCCACCGACTCCCACTGATGACTGCTGTCGTTGTGTCCTTGGGCAAGACACTTAACCCCACTTTGCCCAAAAGCCTCCACTGAAAGATCAAGGCTATGCTCACAGTCAGAGAGCAGCCGTCCTCCTGTGGACTCACCACCTGCAGAGGGTCAGTGAGGGGCTGGTGCTATGAGACTTGGGTGGCATCTCTGACTGCCACCCCCCTGACCCAGAAATGGATTAAAGGGTAGAAAATGGATGGATGGATGAAATCATAAATAGAGAAATTTAATTCAAAAACACCTAACTCCGAATTAACCTCCCTAAACAGTGTTCATCGACTGATAGTAGCAGGGATAATAGGCCTACAGCAAGCATTCAGAAATGATGAGGCTGCAGTTCAATGTCTTGTCTTATGTTTAAAATAATCAATTTACATCAGGCAAAGGTGTTGACTTGCTCTACTTGCTGCATTGATTAGGGCTCATCACCACAATACATCTGATAAAAGTTAAATCTGTAGATTTGGGAGCAAACTTTTAAGTAGCAAGAACATGTGTGTGCCTCTGACCTGCTCGCCATGTTCCACTCCAGCGCTGGGTTCTGGGAGCTCCGTTCAGTTTCCACAGACAGCACTCCTTTGACCCCGTCCTTGTCCGGTTTGAGCTGCTCCCACTGCGCTGTGCCGATGTTGATGGACGTGAGATCCACCTGGTACTGACGGTCCTCCACCTCTGACCCGGGGTCCCGCAGAATGCCAAGTTTTAATGCACGTCTAAAACAAGGGAAAACAGAACGTTGAAGATTGACCACTTTCATAAGCACTCAAATCGTCCAAGTGAAGTTTTGGAAGAAGACAGCACGGTGGCTGAGTGGATAGCACTCTCGCCTCTCAGCAAGAAGGTCCTGGGTTCGAATCCCGCTGGACCAGGGCCTTTCTGAGTGGAGTTTGCATGTTCTCCCCGTGTCTGCGTAGGTTTCCTCCGGGTACTCCGGTTTCCCCTACCACTAAAAATATGTACAATAGGTCTGGAATGTGCCTCCTGTTCGGCAACCCTGCTCCCATCTCGGTGTGGAGTGAGAGACAAATGCCCAAAAAAAACAATTGTAAAGCGCTTTGTGACTCTGGTCTGTGAAAGGCGGTATATAAATAAAACTTACTTACTTACTTACTTACTTACAACCAGCAGCTCAAAGAAAATCCAAACATGTGAATCCTATAATGCAAGCAGCAAGTTTCTGAACACAGTAATTTAATTTTGACAACATTAATTTTTTATATTAAACTATTACAATGCAACAGTTGCTCAGTAATAGAGAGTACAACAAATACACAGCATTATGTGTTTTGATTTACAATGCGACATGTAATAACAACATTAAAAAACACAGTAGAGAACTTTATAGCAGAAATATAAACAAATATAATAATATGCTTTTCAGTTTTTACTGCAAAATGTTCCATCTTTCAAAACCGACTCCAACATGTTATGGTGGCCGTAATCTTTCAAGCTGCCATTAAATGTTTGTTCCCTGGCAGGGTTTGAAGTCGTTTCCCTCATGGAATCATAAAGATGTTATATTCAACAGATTTGCGGTTTACATAAGATAAATTACCAAATAAGAGTATTTTCTTATGAAGCCTTTTTGTATGAGGTAACGTGTTATCTCTGGTTTATTTTCATGCTTATCATGATCAGTAAATATTAGTTAAGCAGTGGCCTGCACAGCACAGTAGTCTGCAGGCTTTAGGTTAGAAGAAACACAGGTGGTCTCCAGCGTACCCATGCTGTAATATGGAGAGATATGTCAGAACTTAGCAGGGCTCAACCCGATCTACACTTGTGAGAAAACCAATGTGTCCAATCAGAGCCAAGAAAAAATGATGTCATGCATTTCGCCTTTTGAGAGACAAAATCCCGATGAATCACCAACAAACAATCGGAATTCAAACATCTGTATACAGTTATTTTTTGTGTTGTTTATTTCTGCTGGCGAGAGCTTAAATGGTATAAATAAATGTATCGACTGCATGAGTAGTTCTATTTGTTTCAGCAACGTCAATTATCATTTGCGCATTCAAAGTCCTTCCCCCTACGCCCTTAAAATAAATGCGAAATGTTATGGCAATAGTAAAAAAAATATAGCAAAAGATCAAAGGCATATAGCTGGATAGAGTAATATTTGTTGACACAAAAACAAGTGAAACTGAGCCTTAATCAACATTTGGAACCACATTTATCAACAGACTATTTTAGAAATCAAGCTTTGAGCACAGTGAGTTTGGGTGGGATGTGTCAGTCCAGATTCGTTAGTGCTTTTGTAACACTACCTCCATCTCTCATATTTTCACATTTAAAAACCACAATTACATCATGTGCTTTCCAAACAGTCTCTTCATACAAAAAATCTTTCACTCATAATCAACGCAACAGTAACTGTACAGCCAAGACTCGCTGAGCTGCAGGGTCATCTCCAATGACAAATAAATATGATAAACATTTGTCTTGCTCATGCAGCCAGTGGAAACCAGTGTGATTTAATATCAAAAGACATATTTCAACCAATCGCAGGAAACGAGAGAGCTTCATTTCTGACAAATGAGGAGGGGCGGAATTCTGGAAGTTCCCTTGGGGTGCAATAATAATTGAAGCCAGATTTTCTTGTACATGTGGGGGAATGCACTGGCGGCTTGACATATTTGATTGGTCATGTGAAGACCACACTGGCTGGGCAAGAGGACTCAGAGAAAGCCTTGGGAAAGCTCTCACATGCCCACCACTGAACTTAAAGCATGATAGGAGCAGGTGGAACGTCTACTCACACATAGCATTACTGGCCATCTGCCTTCCACTGGAATGTGAAAATAAGAAGCCAAATAAAGATAACAATTCATAAATGACATGCTTTCACTGATGAGAGAAGGCGAGCGAAGTGGGGGGCCAACTTCAGCCATATCATTCTTCCCTTGTTCTTGAGCCAATCTTGTCTGAATTGAAAGTGGGTAAGATATAATAAATAAATACAACAACAACAACGTGAATGTAATAATAAAGCTCTGATGCACACGTGAATTTATAAAATTTGCATTCAAGCCATAGACTGTAAATGTTGATTAAAGTTTCTGTATGGAACGTAATGCTATGTAAAACGCGTTATTGTGTGAACACAGATTATTACAGCGAATCATGTTTTTGTTGCTGTTAAAGATACTATACCCAATTTATTTCCAATTTTATTTTCGAATTCAGGCCGTATAAAAGTGCTGAGTAGAGACTTAGCGTGACGCTCGCTCTCCTCCACTCACAGAACGCGGTTGCGTCCTCTAGCCTCTACAGTGTTGGTAAACACAGTAGCATGTAAGCAGAATTAGCTATAACTCCTCTTGCTGTAACTGCATACACAGCAAAACAGTCCAAACGACGCAACAGTGAGGAAGAGAAGAGGAAACTAATGCGAAAAAATGATCAAAGAAAAAATCAATCCCCGGTGATTTATCCAGTCTAAGGGAGAGACCTGCGGGACCGCCTCGGACTATCTATGCTCGGACTACATTCGAACGTGAAACTACCGGTAATCTTTCAGTTATAAATGTTGTTAGCAGTGCGTTGCTTTTGTACCATTTCATCAGTGATTGTTGTACAGCTTAAGTTGCGCCAATACTAATGTTGGCATATGTATCAGATCGCAAATAAAACTAGATGGCTCCGTGGAATGAGAGCGTAGGGGAAATGAGAAGCCTGTGAGCGAGTTGGAGGGCGGTGCTACAGTAAACATTCAAACCTTGCAGAAACGGGTATAGCTCCATTAATGATGGTCATGTATACTTGCACTTTGTATAATACCATGACCTCTTTATCTAGTAGTTTCATTAAGTTAAAAAAATAAACAGATAAGTATCTAGATCAATGTTTAGTATATTTTTGTGTCTAGTGTTGAACTTTTAGCTTAAGCTTGCGTCACTAATGCTTCTCTGTGCTGATTATCTGTGATAATTCCGTAGAGATTCTTATTAGCGTTCACTGGCCGAACCCTTTTCCAACTCTCCCAGCAGACACACCTCTCCAGTCGCCCCCTGCTCCAGGCCAGCAGGGCAGGAAGCACCGGGGTAAAACCAAGTGCCGCTGGCTTCTGGATCTCATCACTCTCAAACCCACAACATGAACCCACAACCCCCAAGACCTGTTTTTCACTCCATTTCCCCCAAAAATCACATGCAATACTTGTCTGCTTACACTTCAGGCCGATACATGGGCATACGTGAATGTGTTTGAGACCTAGGGCCTGGTTCTGCTCTCCCATGCAACATACACACTGACCAGAGATTTCATTCACGTCTCGGCTTTGATTTCACATCGTCAAGCTAAATTAGCTTTGTACATAGAGGTGCTACACTAGAGGTCCATTCCAAATTCCTTGTTTTGAACCAAACCCAACTACTGTATATTTTAACTGTGGGAACATATGTCATATGAAATCCTAACATTAGATGACATGAGGGCTACTTTTTTTCTTCATGAACCAAACATTTTGCTTAACCATCAAAAGGTCCAAGAAGGGTTATTCGGCTGTTCCTTCTTATCGTTCATGTATACATGTGGGCCAAGAAAATTGTAAAACCACTATACTCTGATTGAAAACTATGATTGAGATCATTCACAAAAACAGCCCTGTTGTAAAAAAAAAAATTCAACCCTGTACAGGGGTTTTGATACTACAATACTACTAAGATCTCGCACCTGTGCAGGTGTTACGGACCAGGTCCTTGTAGGATATAATTGTGTACAATAAAAAAGTGACAATAAAAGAAAGAGTGGCAAAAGCAATGCAGTTTTGTCAGTCTGAGTGCATTAGTGACTTAAAGTGACTTACAGTATCGTACAGTCTGACAGAGGTGGGGATAAAGGCCCTGCGGTACTTCCTTACAACAGAGGCCAAACTCGGGTGAAGTTTAAGACTCTGGTCATTTCAGGTCGCTTGAATAGTTCCAGAGGTGATTACCCAAACACCCCAGTCTCTGATGGTTACAGTGGCTTGTGGCTCACTTCTGACTCCCCATGGCCTAATGCCTCACCCCTTTGGGCTCAAGTGTGTGCGCAGAGGGGGATTTCAGAAGCATTATGATTCATGAAACTTGCAATTACTAAGTAAGTTAAGCGCCCCCTGCCCACGGTGGTCCACTGCAGACTGCCAGCAAGTCGCTAACTTCTGAGCGCTGGATTTATGACCCCAGTCAAGTCCAATTGCTGTTAATTTGCATCTACCAATTACAGCAATTAAGGCTGTGAATTAGGGGGGAGGGGAGACCTCAGAGTAAATGGGAGGAAAGTTGCGGCCTGGAACATAGAGTCAGCATAAAAGCATCTATAAGTTCCAGTGGTGTAACAATATTTGCTTTCTGTGCTAAATACTCCATATTTGATACATAATTGGATATTGCAAAAAAAAGTGCCAAAGACAATGAAAAATACTCCATATAAACCAAGAAACATTTTGTGATAATTAAGCAGGAAACTGTATTGTTTACACAGTTTACAACACTCTTGAGTAGGAAAAATAGTCAGATAGAACCATTGGCGTCACTATATTGTGTTCATTTTGCAAAAACCAAGGCTGAGATGTCATTTTGGTACAAAGAAAAGCACAAAGACTGCACTGAAGACAATCGTATGTTCAACATGGTGGCCTGGTAAAGTTGTCAGTTTGGTGATGTCATTTACAATGCCATCATACGTTTTAAATTCTAAACCTGCTTCTTACATTAGATCTCATGTT